GGAGAGAGACACTGCCCGATGCTAGGTGGAGGGGGGGAGACACCGACTGACGTTGGGGAGGGAAAGAGGGGAGCGACACCACCAGACGCTGGGGTCACGTAAAAATGTCCTCGGCCAAAAAAGGGTCATGAGTGGAGAAGGTTTAAGAAGGCCTGGGCTAGAGGATCTCTGTACCTGGAAACAAACCTTTCTAGTTGGTTGATGAACCTGGAGGCCAGGAGGTCCACATCCAGTATCCCCCATCTATCACACAGGTCCTGAGACAACGCTGGGTCTAGGGATCACTAGGTGCTGCTGGCTAAGGGAGTCTGCCTGCCAACTGTCCATGCATGGGATGTAAACAATGGACAAGGCAGTAATATGAAGTTCTGCCCACACTTCTTTTGCCGCGACAAGACTTGTGGCTCCTCCCCGATGGTTGATGAACGTCATTGCCATGGCAGTGCCAGACTGAGTCGGGGTTTAGGAGGTACAGCGTTGCAGGGACAACCAAACTGCCAGAAGTTCCAGAATGTTGATCAGGAGGCAAAATTCCTCTGCGAGTAAGATCCATGAATGGTCAGGGTGCCCAGAACTTCCCCCCAGCACAACAAGCTGGCCTCCATGGACTAGACTGACTTGACCCAAACGACAGAATGTGTTTTAGGGATTTGCAGTGAAACTGGACAAATGGGACCTGCCTGGGAGGAGCCAACAGCGGCCACGAGGAGTAGAAGTCTGGGAGGGGGAACGTTTGAAGTTTCTTCTGGGGAGCGGTAAATCTAGCTTACGCTATGCCCAAGACTGGACGCAGGTATTCCGAGCGATGAGACGGTTTCAGCGTTGTTTCCTGAAGGTTCCGTGTCCATTCAAACCTCTGCATGGTTCAGCCTACCTTGTCTGGTCTGTTCCCTCAGCTGGAGGTGGTCTAGATATCTCACAATGGGAATACGCCAAGTGCAGCACGGCCGGCCAGCACCTCGGTGTGCAAAAGATAGATTGAATGGCAAGGCCCCCAAACTGGAGGTTCAGAGAACAGGAAAGTGCAGGAACCGCATGGACATGCAAGAACGTTTCCTTGATGTCTACAGAGGCCAGAAAGTCTCCTTAATGGGGGGGGGGCTACGACAGACCTGATCGATTCCATGCAGAATTTCTGGGCCTCAATGAAGACATTTGGAGCCTTGAGATCTAAGACGAGGCCGGTGCCCGCTTGTGGTTTGGGGGTCTGTGAACGGGTTGAAGTAGAACCTCTAAAAGCTTTCTGCCACATGGACACTCTCCTGCAGAAGACCTGAGCTATGGTAATCTGTGTGCTGATACAGGCAGGTTGGAAGTCATGAACCAAGGAGGGGGCTGAAATCGAAACTATAGCTTGTAGCCCTTGAAACCCCCCCCCTCCCCACCCCCCGGGCGGGCTGTCCAAGTGTCTGCAAAGGGTAATAGACCTGGAAAGTGGGGGCGCACCCTCATGCTAAAGTAGGATTGTCTGAGGGTTTGGAATACAAAGGCTTACGGGTAGACAAAGATGAAAAGGTTCTTCTGAGGTGCCAGCTTCTTAATACTGTAACTGTCAAAATGAGTTGCACTCTTAAAGGAGAACTATGAGGTCAGGGCCTCTCCCCATAGTTCTCCTTAGGGTAACGGGAGGACACAAACTAGCGTCCTCCCGTCACCCTAGGCTCAGTATATAGGGAGCTACAGCTCGCGGTATACTGAGACGCCGCAGCCGGAGCGGATCCCGACATTACTGTCTGGATCCACCCAGCTGCGTGAGTGACAGCTGGCTCTGCCTATCTA